GTAGACTAGGAGTACCAACTAAACAAGCCTTATAAAGGACACAGTGAAAAGACATGACTCAATAATGGAAGACTTAGGCGAGAAGGAATAGTACTCGAAGATGAGCATATTCGGAAGAATATGCCAACACTGTACAACCCGTGAATAGGCAACATTTACACTCAACCACCACCAAACAACTACACCTGATAAACAACAAACTACCAAAGAATACGCCAAGAACAATGCGTCCGAGTTCTTTTAGAATCAAAGAACCTAGATAAATGCTCAGAGGCTACAAAAGGAGAAGATTTTAGTTCCTTGAATAAATCAGATTCAAGACCCTCTAACTCTTTGTTCCAAACAGCAAGAGGCTTTGGGGCTACACTCAGTGAGTGCACTTTTTCTTAAAAAAGCGCACATTACTCGAAAGACTTCTTCAAGTCAGCAACTTTAAAACAACATAAGATTCAAGACCCTCCAGCTCCTTGTTCCAAATAACAAGAGGCTCGGGAGCTACACTCAGTGAGTGCACTTTTTTCTTCGAAAAAGCGCACGTCACCAAGAAGACTTCTTCAGGACAAAACTACTATAAGGAATCATGACAAAAAGAAGCCGGACCGAGCTATATCCGAGTTCTTTTTGATAAAGAAACCGGGCACATGCTCGGGAACATTTCAATGAAGGATCAGAGCATTTTCAAGACAAGACCCTCCAGCTCCTTGTTCCAAATAGCAAGAGGCTTGGGGGCTACACCCAAAGGGGAATACTTTTTTCTTCAAAAAGGTACACTCCACGTGAAGATCTCACAGAGCGCTACACGGTTTCGCTCAAGAAAGCACTCGGACGACGCTTATTCTTGCTCGGTAAAGCCGGAAAGAACAAGACAACGCTTCCAGAGCTCAACCATGAAGTGCTCGGGGGCTTATCGATGCGGGACCCACAGGATACCCCGTAAGGAGGAGAGAAGATCTAGTCTAACTAGAATTCTCCCCATGTAATCTTAGTAGTAGTATTATCCTGTAATCCTACTAAAAACTCTTATTGTAAACCGACTAGGATTCTAACCTCCTGACTATATAAAGGAGGGCGGGGTTCCTAGAGACGGGAGATCACAACTTCTACAACACAACAACACACAATCAATACAACGCAAGGGCTAACGCCGACTGGACATAGGGCTATTACTCGACCACAGTCGAGGGCCTGAACCAGGATAAATCGACTGTTTCTTGCGTTCACCGCCGAGTTCCTACAAACGTCGATACCCCTCTGAACAAATCACCATCCCGGGTACCCCGTGACGGGTTGCCGATGGTAAAACATCGACACATCCCCATTGAACAGGGGAAGTGTTTCCTGAGCGATATCCACGGTGGGGTTTGCGGTCACCACGTCGCGCCTAGAACCCTAGTCGGAAACACATTCCGACAAGGCTTCTACTAGGACACCGCAGTAGCCGACGTCGAGCAGATCGTACACACCTGCAAAGGGTGCCAGTACTATGCTCGGCAGACTCACCTATCGGCCCAAGCACTCTAGACGATCCCCATCACTTGGCCATTTGCAGTCTGGGGGCTCAATCTGGTTGGACCTCTCAAAAAAGCGCCTAGGGGCTACACCCACTTGCTTGTCACCATAGATAAATTTACAAAGAGGATAGAAGCTCAGCCGATCTCCGCGATCAAGTCTGAGCAGGCCGTGCTGTACTTCCTCGACATCATCCATCGCTTCGGAGTCTCGAACTCCATCATCATAGACAACAGCACGTAGTTCACTGGAAAGAAGTTCCTCTGATTCTACGATGAATATCACATCCACGTTGACTAGGCTTCCATAGCGCACCCCCAAACGAACGGGCAGGTCGAGCATGCAAATGGCATGGTCCTATAGGGCCTCAAGCCTAGGATCTTCAACTGGTTGAACAAGTTCGGTGCATGGTGGGTCATCGAGCTTCCTGTGGTACTCTAGAGCCTGAGGATGACCTCCATCTAGGCCACCAGCTACATGCCCTTCTTCATGGTCTACAGTTCCGAGGTTGTCCTCCGAACCGACATCGAATATGGAGTGCCGAGGGTCAAGGCGTATGACGAACAAGGAGCCGAGGCATCCCTCGAGGATGCCATGGACCAGCTAGACGAAGCGCGCGACGTTGCCCTCCTTCGCTCAGCCAAGTACTAATAGGCGTTACGATGATACCACAGCCATCGAGTATGGGGACGAGCCTTCAACGTCGGGGACCTAGTCCTCTGCCTGGTATAGAGCAACAAGGACTGCCACAAGCTCTCCCCACCGTGGGAGGGACCATACATAGTTGCGGAGGTGCTCTGTCTAGGCGCCTACAAGCTCAAAACCACCGACGGTGAAATCTTCACCAACGCCTGGAACATCGAACAGCTACGTCGCTTTTACCCTTAATAAATGCATACTTTCTCTTATTAGTTTTGTTATCCAACTCCCTGATTTTTAGTGACATCCGACCCCAGCAACGGCATGGGGTCAGATCTCACTCGGAGGCTGATATGAGCATATCTATCCGGCAAACATTCTCCGTGCCTGCCCCCCTTTTCACGTTAAGACCTAGGAGCTAGGTTTATGGGAACAAGCTCTGATTTTAACTAGTCGGACTGTGGGAAACCTACGCCCCAGTGGCTACGGTGTCTTTGCTCACTAGCGTGATCAGAATTGGCTCACCCGCACTCTGAGCTTTTACGACCTTAACGACGGAAAGGGTCGGAGCGTGCTAACCTTTTTATACAAAAATAGGAGAAGAGCTAAAAAATTGTTTGCTATAACGAAACTTGAAAGCTTGTCCATTTGTTACAAGTTTCTCCACCTGGCTTATCTCCTAGACTAAATTCTTGCGCGGGATGTTCTCATCCTTTATCTCCGCAGGAAAGTCTTGTCTCGGCAGGTAACACAAGTCGACTGGATGTCTTGGCCGCTGTCGAGAAATGGGTAGGGAGCAGACAGGATCCCACTCATATCTGGTGGAAGTTTCCCCCATCACTCTTACCATCGAGGTAAAACCAGTGCCCAGGTCAATCGAACAGCTCAAAGCCGCTGACGAAAGACAAGCACCCTTACTTTACGCATTAATTTTGCTACCGAGCCTCCGACCCCAGCAACGGCAAGGGGTCGGACATCGCTCGGGGGCTAGCAAGAGTGTCTATTCGGTAGACATCCTCTTTGCCTGACCCCTCCTTATGTTAAAAAACTAGAGGCATGCTGTGCGGGCACAAACTTTGAGTAAACCTGGTCGGACCGCTAGGACCCTATGCCCTAGTGGCTACGGCATTTTTTCTCACCAGCGTGATCAGAGTCTTTGTCTCCCCACCCTGAGCTTTAGCCTACTCCTTCTCGGGAAGGGTTTGGAGGGGCCTACCTATGGAATCTCCATCGAGGAGAGGCTGGTAGGTCGCCCAGGTCGATCGAACAGCTCGGGTCGCTGCCGAGAGATGGATAGGGAGTTGTGGGATGTAACTTGCAGGTTACGACAACTCCATCATGAACGTTGGACCCAGACCCCACACGGACATATCCGGTAAGAGTTCTCCAAATCCATCACTTGAGCCATCGAGGTAACTTTACCAATCCTCACCTTTCTTTTTCCATTGCATAATCATTCATTCATCCATTCTCATGCACGCATTCATACATTCATTCATTCATTCATTCATTCATCCAGTCATCCCATATATTCAAGCATTGCATATACAATTGTTGCATCACAATGCTTCACGTCGCGTCACGAAGCGATAGTCGTCCCATTCGATATGAGCGGCGACCGATCGAGGTTCGAAGGCCAGCCCACGAAGGGCTAGAGGCTGCCTCGCGTCAAACAGAGCCAGGGAAGGAAAATCGAGATGAGCCCCAGCGGCCTTGCCTGACCCCGCTCAGAAGCGGACAGGGACATCTCGACCTTTCTCGTTTGATTCTAACCTCGAGCCAAGCCCACAGAATCTCCATCGATGAGAGGCCAACAGGCCACCCAAGCCTATCGAATGGCTCGGGCATCTACCGGAAGGCGGGTTAAGAAGTAGTGGAGTGCCACATGAGGGCTCTGTCGACCCCGTCAGCGGATGACGGACCCGGATTCCACTCAAACATGCCCATTAGCGAGCTCACCGAGCGTGACACTCGAGCCATCGAGGCAAGTGTCGTTAGCTCCGCCCCTTCGGTTGTGGAAACCGAGGACGGGGTGACGCATGAAAACATGGCCAACCCTTCTGAGACCCATGGGGCTCGGGGGCTCGAGCCGTTCGACCCAAAATCGGGAGACCGGGGTTCGAAGGCTGGCCCACGGAGGGCCTGAGGGCCTCGCGTCGAACAAAGAGCTAGGGGAAAATGTAGATGAGCCCCAGCGGCCTTTGCCCATCCCATCTAGAAGCGGATAAGGTCATCTCAACCTTCTCGTACGATCCTAACCTCTAGCCAAGCCCATAGAATCTCTATTGAGGGGATATCTATTGAAAGGCGGGTTAAGGAGCAGTGGAATGCCATGTGAGGGCTTTGCCAATCCCGTCCCGAACAACGAACCCGGATTCCACTTGAACATGTCCATTAGTGAGCTCACCGAGCCATCGAGGCAAGTGATGTTAGCTCAACTCCTTCGATTGCAGAAACCGCGAAAGGGGCGACAATCACAAAGACAAGTAGATCCTAGACCAAACCCTTGCTACGCATGGGGGCTCGAGGACGCTAGCCTTCCGCTCTAGCTTCGATGAGATCGAAGGAGAGACAGGTGTCACCAATCCACGCCTCAATCACTCCTCACTGGCCCGAAGGGAAAAAAAGGCCCAGGATAAAAACACCACGCCACAACCAGCGTGACGGTGAGAACCGGAAACGGCGATAAAGCGTGACGTGCTGAGAGAGGAGGGGTGGGGAGGGGCGCGGAGGAGGCGACAGCAGCAGTCCAACACGCGTGAATCCAATCGAATGGAGCCCTGAGCCCCTGAGCAATTATCCATTCTCCACTGAACCCTAGCCAGAACAGAGACCACCAGCAGATCGCACAAATGTTCAAGTCGCGGCTGCAGGAGCTGTGTCAGAAGCGGCGATGGGCGCCGCCGTTGTACGAGCCTACCCGCGAGGGTCCTGCCCACACGCCCCTCTTCCGCGCTACTGTCGTCGTCAATGGCGAGAGTTTCAGCTCCCCGGATGAAGGGGAGAGGTCACTCAAGGATGCGTACAACCTCGCTGCCATGGCCGCCTTCGAGAACCTCAGCGCGCTCCCGGCCGCGGCCCCTGCCCCGGCTGCTCCAGCGACGCCGCCGCCCGGTGAGCTGCCAGCTTGTCCCCTTACGATTTGGGATCGAATAAGGTTTTTGTTCCTCGAATTATCACCGCCTTCTCGGTGGAATTTCCCTCCGTGTGAAAACCCCACGATATTAGCTTCTTTTCCTTTCGAAAAACACACTGTTTTCGTAAAACAATTGAAAATAATTTCTTTCCTTGGATGATCGCGTGGTAGCATTGGATTTTCGCACCCTTCTCGTCGTTTTGAGTTCCTTACGAGGTACATTTAATTGTTTGGAGGTGGCGCGGGTGCCTGAATCGCTAGGAACCACTAAGCATCTGCCTAGCTTTCGAAATTAATCTTACCAGATGAACTGAAGAAGAGTAGAACTTATTAGCAATCCAAGTATTTTTACAGGTGAATAACTAGCATTATTGTTGCAACAGAGGAAATTGATCCCTATTTTTGTAATACTATACTACTTTTAGCCTACCCCAACTTGTTTGGGACTTAAAGGCTTTGTTGTTGTTGTTGTATACTACTAATGCAAATGTTAGTATTGGTAACAAGCACAGTTTACTCTTTGATTTTGTATTGATTGCACTTGATTTTCCCACCCTTATCGTCGATTTGAGTTCTGTATGAGGTACGTTTAATTATTTCGAGGTGGTGCGGGTGCTTGAATCAGTAGGAACCCTCCAAGGTGTAAGCATCTGCCTAGCTTTTGAAATTAATCTTACCAGTTAAACTGAAGAAGACTTGGGACTTATTAGCAATCCAAGTATTCACAGGTGAATTCTACTAGCATTATTGTTCCAATAGAGGAAAATGATCCCTGTTTTTGTAATGCTACTAGTGCAATGGTAGTATTGATTGCATGTGATTTTGCAAGGACGTCGTGCGTTTCATGCAGGTAGGTAGGTTCACCAGCACACTTTACTCTTTGATTTTGTATTGATTGCACGTGATTTTGCAAGGACGTCGTGCGATTCTTGTAGCTATTGGACCCCGAAGATAAAATTCTGGTTGTGTATAATGGATATAGCAGAAGTACCACGTGAGTCACTGTGTACATAATAAACTGCTCAGAGGTCATGTTGAACTCATTTAAGAAATGCAGGAGAAGCTGTCTGTAAGTTTTAGCAAATCGGTTACACGGTTGCATCTCAGGACTATTCATCATATGATCCATATGTCATTCCTGGAGAGTTGTTATTATTTTCTATTCTTTTTGTGTTGTGATTAGTTGATTTGTCGTTTTACCTATGTGGCTATATCCTATATTTATTCTCTCATGCTATAAAGATCCTTTTTTTTCATGCAGTAGAGTGTTTGTCGTTTACCTATGTCCCAATATTTATTCTGTAACACTCAGTATTCTTTTTTTATGTAGAGACCCAGATTTCTTACAAGAATCAGTTACAAATTTATGCTCAGAAGCGAGGCAAACTCCTGCCTTCATATCGTCCCATTCATGGAGGTTCTGTTCGTGCACCTCTATTCAAGTCTGAAGTAACCATAGATGGTCAAACATTTGAGAGCCCAGAGTACTGTCTCACAATGAAGAAAGCTGAAACAGCTGCTGCAAAAGTTGCTCTGATGTCCTTACCTCAAGAAGCAAGCCCAACACAGCAACTACCGGTTGGTCCATTCTTTTCCTTTTCACTTATGGAGAATTAAGTTAGCACAACCTCACCTATTTATGATAACAGTTACACTCTTCAGCATATATGTGCACTATCAGTTAATATTCAGCAAACCAAGTTTGGATTGTCCAGTACATCTGGTACCAATATTGATCCATACGGATGAAAATGAATTTTGAATTGGGAACGACTAATACGCTTAGACATATTTTAAATATCTGCAAATGTATTTAATCGCATGCCATCTTGTACCCTCTTGGGGCAAATAAGTCATGTGCTTGTGAAGTTAAGGTCGCTGTTAGTCTTGTTTCTTTTATCCTTTTTTCCCTTTTTCTTTTTAACTTGATCATGTGGGAAATATGTGCATCATTTCATTTAGAAGAAAGAAAGTACATGGTTTCTTTCAAAAAAAAAAAAAAAAAAAAGAAAGTACATGGGTTGGAGAGAAAATCCCCTTCCAAGAGGAAACCCAACACACACGCACAAAACCATACCCCTGGCACAACAAAATCTAGGAATCATCCCATACCCCTAGCACAAACCATACGCTTAGGGCGTGTTTGGATCACGGCCTCCCAGGCAGCTACCTGCCAGGCAGATGATCCTAGCCACAGTCACACGAAATCCGACGCCTGCCGACGCTGCCTTGGCCAGGCAAGAATCTCACGCCATCATCCAAACAAGCCTTAGTCCTTGTGTCTTGCATTCCTGGTAAAGGTATTACTGTATTAGTTGTGCTAAAACCTGAAGAAGTTGCTTCCATTCCATTTTTGCTTGCTAAGAAAATGTCGGTCTTGTTACTAATTTTGCATTATTGCTATTGTTTCTTTTTTGTTGGGGTTCATCTCTAGCCTATCTTACTTGCTTTGGGTTAAACACTTTGGCTGCAGTCGCTTGAGCTACTTTGCAGCAGCTGCTGCTTTTTGTACAGTAATACACAGACCTGCGAGAGTGAGCTGCTGCTGCTGCAGAGAATGGCTGCCGTACAGGCCTTTTGTTGTTCTATTAGACTGAAACTGTGATTCAGCTGTGCAGATACTAGGGTTTAGCTGAACACTGTTAGGAATTCCAATAACAATTGTTGAACTGTGATCCATTTACCATGTCAGGTACCAAGCATATGTCGTCGTGCTTTATCTGTTTCTAAAACTTCCACTAACATCTGTGATTGCCTATTTCTGAAGGATGGTATCATTTTTGAACCAATGTTCACCTTTTTAACAAAAATGTGAGAGTAGCAATGAGCCAGTAAACTCTGAAAATCATCTCAAACAGTTTTGTGGTCAAATTGCAGAAATTCAAGCTTTGCCATTGCAGGTGCCTATGAGCTAGCCTGAATCAAGGTTCATAAAACAATATAACAGTTTGTAACTAAATTGGGTTACATGCTATGTATTCCTTAATATTTTGTATTGTTTATAAAAAAAGATAACGGTTTGTCACTATGCATCTGTTTCCATGGATCAAATGTTCTAGATTCTAAAAGGTCAACCAAAAAAATTATTTTAAGATATCTGATAAATTTAGTTATACCAATTTGACGGATCATTCTACCTTTCACAGCTTCCATCAGTATCCTATAAGAATCTTCTACAAGAACTACTTCAGAAAGAAGGCTTTCCCTTGCCTAGCTATGATACAACTTCGGATGTCTTGAACTATTCTGCTGCCTTCATATCAACTGTGGAAATTCAAGGTGCAACTTTTCGTGGAGAGCCAGGGAACACTAAAAAGCAAGCAGAGATGAATGCTGCGAAGGTTGCTTTTCAACATTTCAAAGACAGTAAGTCGCTAAGCTACTGACAGTTTCCTTCACATCAAGAACAAACTTGCCTACCATAGCAATAAATTTGCAATTATCTTCTCTATTCATCACATGAGATCAATGGTGGCATTTCTGTTTTGAAGCTTCATTCTTATTAAAGTTCAACTTCTTGTTCTGTCAATTATGATTACAATTTCCTGATGTGTTGTATGTATTAAAAACTGTTATTGCTCTGATAATCTAATACTCCCATGTACTACCTCTGTCCGGTCAAGAATGCAATTCTGGGTCCTTTTTGGTTTTCGTGTCCAAAGTTTGACTAAATATATAGGTAAAAATATTAAAATTTGTGACATTAAATAAATGTATTATGAAAATATATCTCATGACAAATCTAAAGGGCGTACCCGGTGCAGAGAGCTCCCGCTCTGTGCGGGTCTAGGGAAGGGTGTCAGTGGCAAGCCTTACCCTCGCCTGTGTAATGCGAGGAGACCGCGACTCGAACCGGGACCTTCCGGTCACAGGCGGTAAGACTCTACCGCTTGCACCAGGCCCGCCCTTCAGGGAGTAGGAGTTAATATATACCGAAAATTTTCCTCTTAGGAAAAGGGTGAGAAATTCTTAACGCAACTAAATTCTGAGCCTGTTCACATGTGCGGATGGGAACAGGAACTCCTATTTGACTATTCATGCCTCAGTGTCAGTTTCTGATATATGGTTCCATTGTCAAGACTTGTCTAGTCATTGTTGATGGTTTATCTGTTTACAGATTCATACTGCTTAGCATTTGAATTAAAGTAGACTGGCAACCTTACTATTGTGACCCTTGGTAACGATGTTTGAATATCGTGCGAAGGTTAGCTCTTGTGGATTCTGTTTTGAGTTTTCTTTAGCGATCAATTGCCCCTGGCCAGCCTTCTCCTTTTTTTTTCCATCTATGTACAACTTGTTCTGCATACTGTTAGCAACAATTTTTTGCCTTTCAGGGGTAAAAGACTCTGCTTGTTCTACTGTTCATGGAGAATCATCCGTGCAACAAGGAACCAAGAACCTGTCTGCTGGACAAAATATCAAGGTTCTAGAACCTGGTTTTTCAGTGCTTGGTGTATCAACGCCAACGACAAAGCATGGCAAGGATAATGACTTTGATGCTGGTGAGTTTTCTGGTTACTCCTTTTGTTCCATTTCTTTGCAAACTAACATTACAAGTACATGGAAATCTCATATTTCTTAGCCGAGTACTAGGCTTCTTCTAAACCAACTTCTTCATGTTCATGTCTATGAATGTGATCTTTCAAATTTCAACTTTGGCATTCCAGGAGGTACTAGTGGCTAGTGTGCGTCAGTTCCTTAGCCTCTCAGATTCTTTGCTGTACCATAAGCCAATTTCTTCCGTTTTGAACTTTCGTGACTTTGGAGTTCTGAAACTACATTCATCGTGCATTTGTGACATTATGCGCACGGTATTAGGTAGTTAGTATTTCTGCTCAGGATACATTTGCAAACACGTGTTGGACTTCACACAACAGTGCAGAGATTTTTTTTTGAACGTAATGGCAGGAGCTCCGCCTTTCAATTAAGAAGAAATAGAATTGACCCAGTTTATGAGGGAAACAAGGCCTGAAAACCTTACAACCACACAGTTTATTAAAGAAAAATTGGCGAAAAACCTAAACATGACGCCCAGATGGCTAACCCTGAGCAACCCATTTACAAAGGTGACACACAACCGACAGAGCCCCGTGCACGTCATTGTTGCTGAGCTTATCACAAGATCCAGCGATAAGAAGCTCCGACTTAACATCAACCAAGCCCCTAACATGCCGCCACAACCTCCGTAGAAAAAGAATGCAGTGTGTCATCGTTGCCAAGCTTTGTTGCATCCCACAATCAAAGCAGCTCCGACTTCTCACTGCAGATCCACTCTAGGAGAACCAGATACGCACCGCAAGAGAGTAGCGAACCAGAGAGAACCTGGCCTCGTCGAAAACCCAAGGTTTGTAGACGAAGGATACGACGTCGATCGTTGTCGTCACTAGCCTAAGAAAACCCTAAGCAAAGTTTCCTCAGAAGAACCCCGCAGAATGAGGGGAGGCCTCGACAATGCTTCCAAGGAAGGGAACAACGCCTGAAGTGTTGTCGGCGGCGGCTCCGACTAACACCGGCCGGGCTTTTGCCCAATGTGCTCCACCTCACACTTGCACAAAAGGGCCACACCACCGCACATCAGCCAGTCCTGTAAGTACCACAACACGTGGCTAGAGACTGACGCATGCGGCCAAACGCAACATCTTCCGTGAAGCCAGATGAAGTTGCTCACCGTCTGCCACCACACGCAGTTTGTGAGCTGAGCTCATGGAGCCGTTGCAGATGGAAAGCCATGCCCACAGCAGGTCGTGTGGCCAGCCATGGTTGTCGTGTCCTAACACCACGCGTGCAGCCTCGGTAACGCCGTGACATCCAAGAACTGCCAACGCGCTAGCACGCGTCGATGCCGCGTTGAATGTGGCTTCCAAGCTGCCGTCATGCAGCATCCGGGCCACAGCCACCTCTCTGCGACCTTGGCGTCCTGCGAGCGTAGCCAGTCCGCAGCCTGCGTTCCCACCGCCGCACGCCACCACCAAACGGCCTCTGGCAGCCAACTCCAAGCGCGGGGTTTGATAGATCTGGTCAAGGGGACGCTGGATCCGCACGCACCGGAACTGGATTCGGCCGCTGGCTGCCGCCCCGTGCAGGCCACGCACGGGGGCTCCTCCGGGAGAGAGGGAGGATTTATGACCTTACCGTGGGCCCTGGTAGAATTACACAAACATAATGACCAAAACTCAAGGACCAGCGGGAAGGTATGAGCTGTGAATTTCAGGCATCTTGGGTTTGAACCCCAGGCATGCCTTCATTTTTTTCTTCCTGATTACCTCTCTCACTCCTCACGTGCTTGTCCCACATCAACAATAATGTACTCCCTCCATTTCAAATTATAAGTCAACAACAACAACAACATGTCACGGTTCAGGCACTTCAATAGCTGCTTTCCAAGTACTCCTATTCAAACATAGATCTCTAGGTATATCCCAAGCTTTCAAATCTCTTTTTATTGCCTCTCCCATGTCAATTTCGGTCTTCTTCTACCTCTCCTCATATTATTAGCTTGGTTTAGGACTCCACACTGCACTGGTGCCCTTGGAGGTCTCCTTTGGACATGGTCAAATCATCTCAACCGATGTTGGACAAGCTTTTCTTCAATTGGTGTTACCTCTAGGCGATCACGTATATCATCGTTCCAAACTCGGTCCATTCTTGTGTGACCGCAAATCCATCGCAACATACGCATTTCTGCAACACTCAGTTGTTGAACATGTCGAATCTTTGTAGGCCAACATTCTGCTCCATACAACATAGCTGGTCTAATCGTCGTTCTATAGAACTTGCCTTTTAGCTTTTGTGATACCCTCTTGTCACAGAGAATGCCAAAAGCTTGTCGCCACTTGATCCACCCTGCTTTGATTCTATGGCTAACGTCTGCATCAATATTTCCATCCCTATGTAGCATCGATCTCAAATACCGAAAGGTATCCTTCTTAGGCACTACTTGACCTTCCAAACTCACATCTCTCTCTTCCTGTACAACTCCGCTAAAGTTGCATCTCATGTATTCGGTTTTAGTTCTACTCAATCTAAAACCTTTAGACTAAAGGGTCTGCCGCCATAACTCTAGTTTTCTATTTACTCCCGTCTGGCTTTCGTCCACTAACACTACATCATCAGCGAACAACATACACCAAAAGATATCCCCTTGTATGTTCCTGGTAACCTCATCCATTACCAAGGCAAAGAGATACGGGCTTAAGGCTGACCCTTGATGAAGTCCAATTTTAACCAGGAAGTAATCTGTGTTACCATCGTTTGTTCGAACACTAGTCACAACATTGTTGTATATGTCCTTGATGAGGGTCAAGTACTTTGATGGGACTTTATGTTTGTTCAAAGACCACCACATAACATTTCTTGATATCTTGTCATAAGCTTTCTACGAGTCAATGAAAGCCAAGTGGAGGTCCTTCTGCTCTCTAAACCGCTCCATAACCTATCTTATTAAGAAGATTGCTTCTGTGGTTGACCTTCCGGGCATGAAACCAAATTGGTTTGTTGATATCTGCGTCGTTCCTCGCAGGCGCTGCTCGATGACTCTCTCCCGTAACTTCATAGTGTGGCTCATCAATTTAATTCCCCGATAATTAGTACAACTTTGGATATCTCCCTTGTTTTTGTTTCCCCGATAATTAGTACAACTTTGGATATCTTCCTTGTTTTTGTAGATTGGTACCAATATGTTTCTTCTCCACTCCTCAGACATCTTGTTCGATCGAAAGATATTGTTGAACATCTTGGTTAGTCATACTATAGCTATATCGTCGAGACATCTCCACACGTTGATTGGGATACCATCAGGGGCCATCGCTTTGCCTTATTTCATCATTTTCAAGGCTTCTCTGACCTCCGATTCTTGAATCCTTCGCACAAAGCGCCTGTTAGTGTCATCAAACGAGTCGTCCAGCTGAACGGCGGTGTTCTCGTTCTCACCATTGAACAATTTATCAAAATACTCTTGCCATCTATGTCTGATCTCATCCTCCTTCACTAAGAGCTGCTCCCTCTCATCTTTATGCACTTGACTTGGTTGAAGTCCCTTGTCTTCCTATCGTGAGCCCTAGCTATCCTATAAATATCCTTCTCTCCTTCCTTCGTATTCAAACGTCGGTAAAGGTCCTCATAGGCCCACCCCTTTGCCCCACTCGCCGCTTGTTTTGCAGTCTTCTTTGCCACCTTGTACTTCTCTATGTTGTTTGCACACCTGTCATGATACAAGCGCTTATAACACTCCTTCTTTTCCTTAATAGCCTTTTGCACATCTTCATTTCACCACCAAGTGTCTTTCGAGTCGCATCCGCTCCCTTTGGTCACTCCAAGCACCTCTGAAGCAACCTTCCGAACGCATGTTGCCATCTTCTCCCACATGTTGTTTGCATTGCCTTCATCATTCCAAGGGCCCTCTTCAATGATCTTTTCCTTAAAGATCTTTGATGCCTCCCCTTCTAATTTCCACCACTTCGTTCTAGCAACCCTAGCTTGTTTGTTCCCACGAGCTTGCACCAGAAAGCGGAAGTCAGCCACCACCAGCTTGTGTTGAGCGACCACCCATTCTCCAGGTATCACCTTATAGTCTACGCATGTTCGTTTATCTCTCCTTGTAAGGACAAAGTCGATTTGACTAGAGTACTGACCGCTACTAAAGGTCACTAAATGAGACTGTCTCTTACGGAAGAAAGTGTTAGCTATCATCAGATCAAAAGCTATGGCGAATTCTAAGACTTCCGCTCCCTCCTGGTTTCTACTACCATATCCGAAACCCCCATAAATCGCCTCGAAACCTGCACTTGATGTATCTACATGGCCATTAAGATCACCTCCTATCAAGAGCTTCTCGCTACTAGGGACAGCTCTAACCAAGCGATCTAAGTCTTCCCATAAAAGCCGCTTAGCACTCTCATCATGGCCTACTTGGGGGGCATACGCACTAATTACGTTTAAGACCATATCACTAATGACAAGTTTAACTAAGATGATCCTATCCCCTTGCCTTCTCACCTCCACCACACCATTCTTGAGGCTCTTATCAATCAAAACTCCTCCTCCATTTTTATAAGTCGTTTTGGTTTTTTTAGATACATAGTAAAATCTATGTATCTTAGACATAGTGTATTTCTAGATACATCGTAAAAGCCATGTACCTAGAAAAACCAGAAAGATTTATAATTTGGAACAGAGAGAGTAAAAATATAAATTAGTAAGTTCAACTTGGTTTAGCCTCAGCTCTCAGGGCTAGGGACGCATATTGTGATGTCATAGTGGCTGTACTGCTTCTATTTACCCTCTAAAACACATTTAGATCATATTTATTTTAACCAGTTGATCAATGTTATGATTATGACCACTGAGAGGTAATAATATGAACTAGTAGAATGTTCCCTGGTATGAAGCACATGTTAAGTTCAACTTTGCCTTGATTAACTTTTGGCTGGTCATATTTATTCTGCATCTGATGTCCATAATACTATCCATTGCATGTCTACATAATGCAACCCTTGCAAGTTTCTTTTTGTGTGTATTTGCCATTTGCTGATGTGGGTTTTCTCTTTATTAACTTGATTCTCATTCATTCATTCACTCATGTTATGTTCATGTGCAGTAAATCACCCACTTCCTGTTGCTGCTACAACACAATCTGTTGATGGAAACACAATATCTTCAAAGCTGGAAGTTAACAAATCACTCCTTGCAGAGCCAAGCACAGAAGTTGAAGCAATGTATTCTACAGAAGTTGACAAACTGCCCCTTCCAGAGCAAAGCATGGATATTGAAGTTGTGAACTCGTCTCTGGAAGTTGACAAACTGCACTTTCCAGAGCCAAGCACAGAAGCTGAAGTGATCCATTCATCTCTGCAAATTGATGAACCGCTCGTTCCAGAGCCAAGCACAGAAGTAGAAGGCATGGACTCATCTCTAGAACACACATCAGTTGTGAATGGTCACGCAGCCCTCATAGCCCCAACCATTACCTCTACTCTAAGCGTGCCAACAGCTACCATGCCTGTCAGCAATGACAGATGCGGTTGCTACTTGGGGACCAACAGAATCCAAGTCTACCCTCGCCACACTGATATGGTTATCCCGGAAGGTGCGACCATGCTTCCCATCAGCGATAATGAGTGGGTAGCTGTCAGCCTACCTTATTCCAACAATAACTAAGGTAATCTGAACCCCACTTTATAATTTTATTACTGGAAGTCCATGGTTCGCTTGCTCTCACTGAGAATCTATTCTCTGTTGCCATAACGCAGGTAGCAGGACTGCCACTTAGGAAGATTAGGGCAGGAGGAGAATGGATGGATGCTTTATGATGATTATATGGCTTGCGATGCTGAGCTAATCTATTTCCCGTGTTGTACTAGTAATCTACTAGTCTAACAAGACTGCCTTGCGCTGGACTACCATTAGCGTCCCTAATGCGGAGACTTGTGTGACTCCTATTGTATCTAGCTGAAGCTTTGCTTAACTATGAGGAAATCTGAGTTGTACTAGTGCCAGGTCATAACTGAAGTAGAGAACCTGAACTCTGGATGACTGGATGGACAATCCGCAACATTTATCATGATCAGACTTCTTTCATGCTTCCTGGTTGAGCCCTTGCCTTTTGGAATGTTTCTAGATGTTGATATGCGTCTGAGTTTGAGCATCTGCTCGATGCGGTCGGCATGCTGTAGGCTGTAGCGATCGTATCTTGATTCGTTTTGTTCTGCGTATTGCTCTTTGTTCAACTCTGCCCAGCACACTTTCTCAGCAAGAGCTCTGCGTCGAAACTTGAGAGGAGCGAATTGGAGCCTTCCCCATTTGCATAAATTGTCTTGTGAAATCCTTTCCAGTTGAATGCCAAATGTCTCGTACCGTGTGCAACAACAAAAATAACTCCCTCTGCCTGCCTTCTTACCGCGGGCATTGGGTGCCCCCCGAATGTTCCTTCCGAAGGCACCACGCACGCCCACAAATCACGGCGCCGTGACCACGCGCCGCTGCTCTCCCCAGTCCTCCACCTCGCACCGCCGCTCCCACTTCCGGCCTCGCCGGTGCGTGCATGTGCGTGCGAGGGACGGCAAGTGAGCTCGGCTCCAGCACGCAATCGGCAGCAGAGTGAACTCACCCTCTCCCTCTGTCGCTGCTCCGCGGTAAGGAGAACTCCCGGCTTGCTACTAAGCTAGCCACCACCACCGTCTGTTGCCTACTCCTCCTCCTCCTGCTGCTCTCAGAGAGCTCTCGTTTTAGATCAGCTCCTGTGCTTATGGGAGAGATTTCCGCGGTGCTGTTTCTTTTTCAGCCTCGAATTAGGATTTCCTCGGGGGACGCCACTATAGTGTGCCGCTGTCGGCTAATATGGCTCGATTCTGGGCGGTCAGTATTTTATTATAAATTATAATAAGACCTACTGAGACGTGTTGACTTCGTTACCATATCATATTTTTCGTTGACCACACGGCTGAGTAGTGCCATCAGTTTAGTTTCTTTTTTTTACTTGCTGATGATTAGTGACACAGTACTCGCCGTATGCTGTCGAATTCTTCTATTCTTTACCTGATGGAAATGGTTCTCATTCAGCCATGTCCAATGTACTTCACTGTAGTGATAGTTGTATCTGAAAACTACACTTGTGTGGACATTGATAGAGATGCTGAAACTTGATATGTGAACACATTCTCAGTGTGAAACCTTTTTTACGAGTGACTTAGCAAGTAAAGAAGAAAAATTCTAAGGGGGTATCAATAATTTTCCCTCAGGAAGATAAGACCATCATGTGTTTTACTACATGTTAAGGCGTGCTTCGTTTCTTGTAGAAGATCAGCGGGGGACTTGGGCATCTTGAAGCCCATTTGCTGTGTCCTTCGAAAGAAAACTATTTTCTTTGTTCATACACTTGCACTTTCTTTCTGATCTGCCTGCTGATTTTGATTTATCTAATCTCTAATGTTTCATTTAGGGCCTCTTGAATTCTGTTAATGGTTCAGGGATCAAGACCATCAGGCCAAACTATTCCAAAGAATTTTTCACACATGAGATACTCCAATATTTCCTGGACATTCCTTCTACTGCTATGTTTTGTTTCGATGGCAGATGCAGAGTACATGAAGTACAAGGATCCAAAGCAGCCTATTAACTCTAGAATCAGGGATCTTATTGGTAGGATGACCCTTGCTGAAAAAATTGGCCAAATGACACAGATAGAACGCCAGGTTGCATCTGCAAATGTCATGCAACAGTACTTTATAGGTAAGTTCTATATAAGCCCAGAATCATTCACCAATCTTTCATATGGCTTGTTGTTTGGGTGATAAAAACAAATGAAGCCTATGGCACTCCACAGCTATAGCTACCACTGTTGTATTCTTCTAAAAAAGGCTACCACTGTGGCATTGTCCTATCCAAATATGATGTTATGCAATTTCTAATGTCAAACTTTCATGCTGTTCTGAAGGAAGCATCTTAAGTGGTGGTGGAAGTGTTCCTGCTCCCCAGGCCAGTCCTGCAATTTGGGTGAACATGGTCAATGAATTCCAGAAAGGTGCCTTGTCAACGCGTCTAGGAATTCCATTGATTTATGGAATTGATGCTGTTCATGGTAATAACAATGTCTACAACGCCACTTTATTCCCTCATAACATTGGGCTTGGAGCTACAAGGTACATCTCTGTTAATCTACATGCACATATTGCAATTTGACAAATATGCTACATGCTTCATAGAAGGCCACATTTTTTTATCATGATTTTTCTAAGTCGGTTTAACATACAATATATTGTTTACTACTTTACTTCGAGTTGGCTAAAAGTTTTCTGTTAGCAATTCATATCCATTTAGCAACAAGAATTGTTTCTTGTTAGCAGGCTGATCATGCAAACATCATCAAAAAATATATGTAGCTATATCAACATCTGTATCTTTCTCGTTCTGTTAGGGATCCTGGCCTCATAAAAAGAATTGGTGAAGCAACTGCTCTTGAAGTGCGTGCGACGGGCATTCAATATACTTTTGCTCCATGTATTGCAGTAAGCACGTATACACTGTTTTGTTGCTTCTACTATGCAAGATCTTTGATGAAGTAAAGTTGAATGAATATAATGCTATATTCTTGTTTCACTTGAAGTTATTTTGATCAGGAACTATTCTTATAGCTTGATTTAGGTTTGCAGAGATCCAAGATGGGGTCGATGCTATGAGAGCTACAGTGAGGATCACAAGGTTGTGCAGCAGATGACAGATATTATCCTTGGTCTGCAGGGTGAGATCCCAGTCAATCATACCAAGGGAGTTCCATATGTTGCTGGGAAGTAAGATACTCTTTTCTCTGTGCTGATACAAATATTATGGTATAGATACGTAAGCCAATATGTAGGGCATTTGCATCTTTATCAAATACTTGGAAACTAATCAGCTATGATGCCTTGATGGGCACTCTATCAGTAACAATATTTTTACAACAAATATTACTTACTATTTTTGTGAATACCTCCTTCAATTGAAATTAGTTTAGGAAAACAATCATTTTTTTTTTTGCGAATAACAATCAAGATTAATATCTCACAGTGCTATCTTATGCCTATCCTTATACCTCAGCTTTGGCTTTTACAGGGATAAGGTTGCTGCTTGTGCTAAACACTATGTTGGTGATGGTGGAACTCATAATGGGATCAATGAGAATAATACAATCATTGATGAACATGGGCTGCTAAGCATTCACATGCCACCATATTATGACTCTATCATAAAGGGTGTTGCTACTGTTATGGTTTCTTACTCAAGCCTGAATGGTGTAAAAATGCATGCCAACCATGACTTAGTCACTGGATACCTGAAATCCAAACTGCATTTTAGAGTTAGTAATAATCTGCAGCTTTATCTACATTACTTTGCTGTGATCTAAAACTTAATTTTGGATATCTTGTGACTGCTTGCAGGGTTTCGTGATATCAGACTGGCTAGGAGTAGACCGTATCACCTCACCTCCTGGTGCAAACTATACTTATTCTGTGCAAGCTGGAATCAATGCTGGCATTGATATGGTATGTGGATTTCTTGTGAGAAAATTATTGGTTACTTTCAACTAGCTACTGAGGAAAATTATTGTATGCCTAGTTGGGAAGGTTTAGTGTTGCAATTGGAGGTGAATTCCTAGTAGGTATTGATAACTCTGATGTATAATCAAAATAATCTTTGGTTGACCTTTTGTCATGAATGATTTGTCATAGCAACAATTCAAGAATTGGGACAGATAAGTTTGCACATAATGGCCATAGTAATTTGTGCCGAAATAAGAATGAAGTTTTTCTTTTCCACCATCTGCCTTTAAAAAATTTCCTTCAACTTAACTCCAGGTCATGGTGCCATACAATTACACTGATTACATTAACGATCTGACTTCTCTCGTTCACAAGGGTGTCATCAATATAAGCAGAATTGATGACGCTGTGAGGCGTATCCTTCGAGTCAAATTTACAATGGGCCTGTTTGAGAACCCTTTAGCTGATCTTAGTTTTGCAGAGCAGCTTGGAAAAAAGGTTAGTAGGCTAGTTGTACAATGTTTTCTCAAGTTACATGGTGATGTTTTTTTTAAGCTACATTGTGATATAAAAAACAGCTTTTTGTGTACAGCTAGGTTGTAATTCATTCCAGATCAACCTAAAATTTTGTAACAAAATCTTAACAGGAGCATAGGGAACTGGCTAGAGAAGCTGTCAGGAAATCACTTGTTCTGTTAAAAAATGGGAACTCTCCCAATCAGCAATTCCTACCTCTCCCTAAGAGAGCTAGAAGTATCCTGGTAGCTGGAAGTCATGCTCGCAATTTGGGGTACCAGTGTGGTGGATGGTCAATCCAATGGATGGGGGGCAGTGGTGATATCACAACCGGTATGTCATTCATCATTTTAATATATATTTTTTAACGAAAATAGCAGGAGCTCTGTCCTTCAATTAAGAGAGGAGAAAGACCGGTATTCATTACATGAAACTTCTTTTATATACATTTGGTTCCTTTTATATTTCAGTAAAAACAATGCAGGTGTTCATTGCATGGAGATTTAACATACATTTTATGTGCATACTTTTTTATGTCTGCATATGAGATTGTCATGGGGCTACAACCGGTGGCCAGCCCAGCAGCTGGCCCACCAAGGGCGTGGTACTGTTCACAGGCGTGTACAGTATGTCGGTGTCCGAGGGCACTGTAGCACCACTAATCCACTATAGCCGTTGCCCCTGTCAAGAGTCCATCTAGGTTAAGACTAGGGAACTAGAATCAGGTTAGCATGTAAGTCAAGCCAAGTCCTTCCCTATATAAAATGAGAAAAGGGAGATGTAATTGTTTGGAACTAAGAAGTATGAGTAGTACTAAGAAGTAAAAAGGGGTAAAATCCTAAAGCTCTTTGGCCTCCAGTATCCATGTCACCCTGCAGCACACCACCGCCAGCAGCCTTGCTGCCGGCCGCCCTCTGACTGTCCCTCCTCTGGCTGTAGTTTCCTTCCCCTCCTTCTCCCCTAAAATACTGCTTCTAATTTGCCCCTAATTCCCCAATCCTACCCTAATCCCCTCCAACAGAGCTATAACCCTGACAGGGATACACTGAATTGCCAAGTAAACCTATGAGCTTGTACTGTAGTTATTTTCCTTGCAGTTAGGTACATTTTTAACATGGGCTAAAGCTGCATTTGCATATTTAAAAGGTGGTATTCATAACTGCAAACGCTAGAAGCAAACATGACCATATTCATACTTCAGATGCATCACAACTGAGCAACTCATTTGCCTCCAGCTTTTGAGCCCAGAAATTACTAAATTAGACACCAAATCTGCTTTCAGTTCCGGGTTCACACTTCAGATACATCCAAAGTTTACCTAGTATCTCCATGATCAACAGCACAGTGGTGATAGTGAAACTATCACTCTACTGAACAAACATAATTCCTGATTGAGATTTAGAAGGGGCTAGGATAAACATCCCAATGTGCTATGCTGAATTTTGCTCTGTGAGGTTCCTCTTAATAACTGAAATACCTAAAGCAACAGTCTCTACTGTAATTTTTCATTGCAGTGATTCAGTATCCTGTGCAGGAACAACAATTCTTGATGCCATAAAGTCCACCGTTGCTAACCCAACGACGGTTGTCTACTCTGAGAATCCTGATGACAGTTTCATGAAGCATAATGACTTCTCATTCGCTATCGTCATTGTTGGCGAGCCACCATATGCTGAAACAGTTGGCGATAGCACTGACCTCACTATGCTAGACCCTGGTCCAGACACGATCAGAACTGTGTGTTCTGCAGTTAAATGTGCAGTAGTCATCATTTCGGGTCGTCCCATTGTGATTGAGCCATATGTTCCATTAATGGAAGCGCTTGTTGCAGCTTGGCTTCCGGGAACCGAAGGTCAGGGTGTTGCAGATGTACTCTTTGGAGACTATGGTTTCACAGGCATGCTCCCGCAGACCTGGTTCAAGTCGGTCGACCAGCTGCCCATGAATGTGGGAGACCCACACTACGATCCACTCTACCCTTTCGGCTTCGGTTTGACGATAAATTCATCATTGCCAGGGTAAGCTTGTTAAATGTAGTGTGAAAATAACACTAAGTCCGACTCAAACTATTGCTTTTATTTTAAAAAAAAATAGAATAACACCAGACGGTAGTCTTTTATGCTTCTCACCATGGCGTTTCATCTTGTTTGCTGTTTTCAGGTTCTCTGGTGTTGACAATCTGGGATATAAGAAGCAAAGAGTGCTAATTGTTGTGCTGTGTTCTCTACTGCCATTGGTACTAATCAGTTAATGAATTGGGCATATATAGACAGTATTTCAATACCTAGCTGCCCTTTTGTAGTTCTCATATGATTAGCGCGTTACTAATCTAGCGTTAGTAGTTGTTGATTATTTCTTAACGGCCTCATGACTACCTCTGCAAAATGCGTCACTAGACATCAATCAATCTTTTTGTTTTCATCAATCCATCTATTATCTATCTATCTACTAGATGAATTCCCCGCGTCATTGCCCAGGACATTTCGTTCAAGTTGATACAGATTGTCCTCGAGAAGTGGATGCATGCTAGTACTATATAAAAAAAATCAATCATCACCATATTCTGATTTATGTATTTAGCACTTACATGGTTAGTGTTGATGCTGAATCCGGTCACACATGCCAGCAAGCGCTTGATCGCCTGACCATACATAGTTGAGAGGGGTGTCTAAAGAGTGGGGCTGACCAGGGGGTCGATAAGGCTAAAAGTGTTTGATTTTGTTTATTGAACAACAACTAATAACTCCGCCTATGTTGTTTCAACATAGCAGGTCCCAAGCCCTGGTAAAGGAGGAGGGTTGTGTTAGGTGTGGCGAGCCAACGTTAAACCTAGCCATTCTAATGGAGATGAAACCCGAAAGAAAACCGTTGGGGCGTAACCCTCTTAGCAACGCGCCATATCGGAACCCGGGTATGGTGTTAAATGAGTAAGGGCCGGGTCGTCACCCCCGTGACATGCCGTGTCGCGATCTAGGCACGGTGTCAAGTGAGCAAGGATCGGGTCGTCGCATCCTTAGTGGCGCGCTACATCGGCGCCCGGGTGTAGTGAAAAATGAGCAAGGGTCTTCACATCTGAGTCGACGGGTGCGAAGAGTAAGGAAGCTAGTCGAACCAACTAGGATCCGTTTAGGTAGTTGGAATGTAGGGTCGCTTACAGGTAAGTTAAGAGAATTAGTTGATACCGCGACTAGGAGGCGTGTAAATATATTATGCGTTCAAGAGACTAAATGGAAGGGTCAGAAGTTGAAGGAGGTGGACAATACAGGTTTCAAGCTTTGGTACACAAGGATATTCGCGAATAGAAATGTAGTAGGAGTTTTGATTGATAAGAGCCTCAAGAATAGTATGGTGGGAGTGAGAAGGCAATGAGATAGGATTATTTTAGTCAAGCTTGTCATTGGTGATATGGTCTTGAACGTAATTAGTGCGTATGCCCCCCAAGTAGGCTTCGACGAGAGTGCTAAGAGACAATTCTGGGAAGACTTAGATGGCCTAATTAGAGTTGTACCTTGTAGTGAGAAGCTTTTTATAGGAGGAGATCTTAATGGGTATGTAGGTATTACAAGCGCAGGTTTCGAGGCAGTTCATGAAGGTTTTGGGTATGGTAGTAGGAATTAGGAGGGGGAGGAAGTTCTGGACTTTACGGTAGCTTTTGACCTGATGATAGCCAACACTTTCTTTAGAAAGAGAGAATCTCATCTAGTGACCTTCAGTAGCGGACAACACTTTAGCCAGACTGATTTTGTCCTCGCAAGAAGAAAGGACAAACGAGCATGCTTGGGTTGCAAGGTGATACCAGAGGAGTGTGTTGTTTCTCAACATAAGCTTTTGGTGGCAGACTTTCGTTTTCAGGTGCGTGCCCGTAGGGATAAACAAGCTAAGATCGAAAGAACAAAGTGGTGGAAACTGAAAGGGGAGACGTCAGGGAAAGGGTTATCAAAGAGGGCTCTTGGAAGGAAGAAGATTACATAAACAACATGTGGGAGAAGATGACAACCAACATTCGGAAGGTGGTCTCAGAGATGTGTGGAGTAACCAAAGGAAGTGGACAATATGCCCGATGAATGGAGAAGTATATTGGTATCGAACTACAAGAATAAAGGGGATATTCAAAGTTGTACTAATTATCGGGGAATTAAGTTGATGAGCCATACTATGAAGCCATGGGAAAGAGTTATCGAGCATCGCTTGAGAGCAATAACGCGGGTCTCTATGAACCAATTTAGTTTTATGTCCGGAAGGTCAACCATGGAAGTCATTTTCTTAATAAGACAAGTTATGGAGCGGTATAGGGAGAAGAACAAGGACCTACACATGGTTTTTATTAACTTGGATAAGGCTTATAATAAAATACCAATGAATATTATATGGTGGGTTTTGGACAAACATAAAGTCCCAACGAAGTACGTCTGGCTCATTAAGGACATGTACAACAATGTTGTGACTAGTGTTCGAACAAGTGATGGAGACACGGATGACTTCTCGATTAGGATATGACTATATCAAGGGTCAGCTTTGAGCCCTTATTTGTTTGCCTTAGTGATAGATGATGTCACAAGGGACATACAAGGAGACATCTCTTGGTGTATGCTTTTCGCGGACGATGTAGTGCTAGTTGATGAAAGTCGGATAGGAGTGAATCAAAAACTGGAGTTTTGGTGGGAGACTTTGGAATCCAAAGGTTTTAGACTCAGTAGAACTAAAACTGAGTATATGAGATGTGACTTCGACACTACTACTCGAGAGGAGAAAGATATTAGTTTGAAAAGTCAAGTAGTGCCTAGGAAAGATACCTTTTGATATTTAGGATCAATGCTACAGAGAGACGAGCATATTGATGAAGATGTTAGCCATAGAATCAAAGATGGCGGATGAAGTGGCGCCAAGCATCTGGTGTCCTATATGACAAAAGGGTACCACAGAAGCTAAAAGGCAAGTTTTATAGGACGGCGATTAGACCTGCTATGTTGTATGGTATAGAATGTTGGCCTACGAAAAGACGACATGTTCAACAGATAAGTATCACGGAAATACGTATGTTGCGTTGGATTTGCGGTCATACAAGAAGGGATCGAGTTTGGAACGATGATATACGTGATAGATTAGGGGTAGCACCAATTAAAGAAAAGCTTGTCCAACACCGGTTGAGATGGTTTGGACATGTCCAACGGAGACCTCCAGAGGCACCGGTGCGTAGTGGAATCCTAAGCCAGGATAGTAACGTGAAGAGAGGCAGAGGAAGACCGAAGTTGACTTGGGTAGAGGCAATAAAATGAGACTTAAAACGATGGAATATATCCAAAGACTTAGCCTTAGATAGGAGTGCTTGGAAAACAGCTATTCACGTGCCTGAACCTTGTTGCTTGTGCTGGGTTTCAACTCTAACCTACCCTAACTTGTTTGGGACTTAAAGGCTTTATTGTTGTTGTTATTGTTGTTGTGAATAACAACTAATGGACTAATACTTTTAGGCCCCCTTTGGAACGTGGGATTTTTCCCCTGTCCGTGTGTTTTTCTTGTGAAAAATGGACCGATTCTCGTAAAATTTCTGCGTTTCAAAGGGGCTCTTAATTGGAGATGTTTAAACTAGGGTCCACAAGATGGTGTTGACCAAGGCGTGGACTATGGAGTATGGTGGAGATGGTGATGATCATAAGGATTTACAATTTGGGACGAAGGTAGTAGTAAATATATTCATATGTTATAATGGAAGAAAAAAAACTTAGCATGCCAAGGCCTAATAAACATGGCCTAAACTTTAATTTATTATGAGAATTATGCACCATTGTCGGGTAATAATATTTATATATATAACTATGTTCTAAAATTGACCGAATTTATAGAAAAGTATAACAATTTCATTACACCAAATAACAAATCATGAAAATATATTTCATAGTGCATCTAATGATATTAGTTTAGTGCCATAAATCTTGGTGTTTTGTTCTATAAATTTGGTCAAACTTAAAAAGTAAGTTAAGACAACTCTAATAATTAATTTATTTAGAAACAAATGGAGCACTATGAGTGACTTTTATACGGTATGTTGCCTAAACCCTTATCTAAATACTATGCTGAGAGGCTGCCATTGATTATTTTCTCCTACTCTGATTATCACTTTGGCTACCATGTGCAAATTGAATGTTCATGATCCAACCAGGTCCCCAATCTCACGACACACCTTTCAGTTGAGTTTCAACTATTCAGGATTAAATAGGGAACCTTCAATCACACAGCTTCCAGAAAGAGAGAGAGAAGAATTCTCATGGTCGGTTTATACATAGACTCCGAACTCTCTAGCAAAGGTCAAATTCGGCAACCAGACGTGTCGCTTGGTCAGTTCATCCAGAAACGCGGCGGGTGATGGGCTCATAGGCAGGGATCAAAACGGATACGGCTGATATTACATTTGTTTTTATATTTCTGATCAGATTCGAATTCGAATACGGATAGTGTCAGTCATGTCGGATAGAATATGATGGGATGTTGACATCATAAATATGCGATTTAAGTATTTAGATACGGATACGGTATCGGATGTTGAATATTTGGACTTGAATACGGATAGATCTGAATCTCTCTAAACGAATTCGGTCTCAAATACGGTCGAAAAATATACGTACTGTTTTCATCCGTACTCATAGGCACGGGCATGATCCTCGTGCACCAATCCGGCTATAACACCACGCGTAGCCGCAGGCGCGTAGCGCAGCGGCACAGGCGCACCGCGCACAGCCTGGACGGCGAGCCAGCGGCGACGGCGGGACTCGTAAAAATCCTTCGTTCCTAGTAGAGGCACCAACCGAAGCCAGCAGCCCACCACGCCTTCCCCTCGCCTCGCGGCTCGGCGTTCCGTACCGTCCATCCCCCGGCCCCCAAATCCGGCCTGCCCCCGCAAACCAAGAGCTCCAGCTCCTCACGCCTCTCCAATCCCTCCTCACACTCCGGCCCTCCTTCCAGGCTCCAGGGCCGTCTCCGGCGACGCCAGAACCGCCCCGAGCCGCGGCCCTTCACCGGCGACGCCAGCACCGCCCCTAGCCGCGGTCGGAATCTAGGGTTCCCCTCTCCCGCCGCCGCCGGCCGGATCGCGCCCAGAGGAGCCTCCGCGATGCTGCCGTGCGCGAGGTCGGTGCTGCGGAGGAGGGGGCTGGCGTCTTCCGTCCTGCGAAGGTGCGGCGGGGAGGGCGAGTGCTCCACCGGCGCGGGGGAGCTGGTGGCCAATGCCAGGTGTTCGAGCACGGTGGCCGCGCTCGGCGGCGGCGGGCGCGTGCTCGAGCGCGGCGGGCGGTGGGCATATCCGCAGACCGGCGTGATTGGCGCGGGGTGGATGGCGCGCACGCAGACCAGGTGTTTCCTCGGGTGCGGCGACGGGGAGGAGGGGGGCGTGCTCTCCAAGGTCTACGAGGAGAGGCGCGTGATGGGGTATGCGGTCAATCGAGAGTTGCCTTATGGTTGTTCTGGAAATTGATTTATCATAACGTGGGAATCGTTGGTGATTGTGGTGTTGTTGTGATTGCTTTGGTGAGCTCAGGTACTCGCCAGAGCAGATGTTTGCTGTTGTCGCGGCAGTGGACCTCTACGAGGACTTTGTGCCGTGGTGCCAGCGTTCCAGGATTATTAGGCGGCATGAGGATGGCTCATTGGATGCTGAGCTCGAGATTGGATTCAAGTTCCTTGTTGAAAGCTATGTCTCCCATGTGGAGATGGAGAAACCCAGGTATATCAAGGTGAGGAACTGAGGATTGTGAAATGAACATGTAGGTTATGACATATTCATATCGAATGAAGACAATAACATCTGGTATAAGGAAATGGCCTACTTTCAAGGCTCATCACACATAGGACCTTTGTTTTAACAAATCACACAGGACATTTGACCTGTTAATTGTTTGTGCCCTATGTTTCATACCATGCTTATAGGGAAGCCACTGCATAATTTATCTATCTGCAAAATATCTAGTACGATTTAATTGTTTGTTTGTAATGTTGAGTGGCAGATGGATATACTATTCGAATAAAGTTACTACATGAGCTCTCACCTTTCTATAAATTGACTACTTCCTTGCTAACTGGTCGGTCCTTGCCGGAATCTATGGAAAATCATTCAGGTGGGGCTCTCCCCCCTCCGGTGAAGTCTTCAAAAAAAAAAAAAAACTGGTCGGTGTACTTCTAGACGGGTTTCTTGTTTGTTTGGGATAATTTCTTATGGAGCCTTATATGTTTCTGTAAAAGACGTGTCCACGTGCAAGTTATAAATATGTTTTATATTGATAATGTTCTTAAATTCAAATAACTCTTAAATACATTTGGACATTTTGTGCTCCCGAATACTGTCCTTTGTGGAAGTTAAAGTTTCCTGTTAAAAATGTCAATAGTTTTGCTTTTGGCGATGTCATTAATTGATAATTCATTATCCGTTGTCACTGAAGAAGATCTGTGCTCTTGTTTAACCAAGTGATGGTCACATCTCAAGAATATTACCTTAGCTGAACTAGCAATAAGCGCCAATTTTGTGTTATGCGATAGCTGTTAATTGTAAGGAATCTCAATTTAGTCATTTGTTAGGCACACTGGATTAAAAATTTGCAGACTAATATGAGCCTATAATCTAGATTTAGTATTCATGTTAGCACAATAAGGGAGACATCAGAACTTTCTGCCTTATTTAGAGGCTGCATGTACCATACTATTTGAACAGAAAATTTCTGCCTTATTTATAGGCTGCATGTACCATACTCTTTGAACAGAAAGTATCTTCATGTATATATCAGACTACCAATCATCTGCCTAGAGGGGTGCTTTCTTTTGAATAGCTTTGATGAACTATGGTATTTGTTAATAAACTTCAATTTAGGTTGAAACTTTTTTTGTTCAACTAAGATCTTCTATATTGTCAGTTTCTGGATGATAGTTTGATGTTTGCGCTGATTGTGCCACAGAAAATGCTGTTCTAGGCCTCTAGGATTACGAATTTCTTGTACTTGTAGTGTCTTCTGAGTACAATTATTTTGCAAATTATGGTTCTATGTTAATATTAGAGTGGCACTTTTTCTTGAAAGAGACTGATGCGGCAGTTTTTTTCTATCCTGCATTTGTCATTTCTTGAGAAAATTGCATTATGTTGTTTTATGTTTCTTATTACTGGTAATGACTACATGCAGACGACAGCATCTGAAAGTGGACTTTTTGATCATTTGATAAACGTTTGGGAATTTAAGCCTGGTCCTGTTCCAGGGACATGTGACCTCTACTTCTTAGTCGATTTTAAGTTTCAATCACCACTGTATCGTCAGGTAAATCATGCTTTTAGTGATACTGCACATCTATTAACTTATCATATGCCCTCTGTGTCTCTTACAGTATGAATCTTTCTCATCTCAGGTTGCATCAATGTTCTTCAAGGAAGTTGTTTCACGACTAGTGAGCTCACTTAATGACCGTTGTTTTAGAATATTTGGACCAGCTGTTCCAGTGCTTGAAAATACTTATGGACAAGGAAGATGAAGCTGTTATGATTCAATTTTGAAGGATATACCCTTCGTGGAACCCTGGGGATTCCTTGTAGTCAAGGCATAATCCTTCCTTTTATAATCGGTGGTAGTGCCATTTAGGGCACTGTCAGGCAAGAGGTCGTCGTAAGGAAATCAGTCAGTTTTGAGTTTTCATTCATTGGCTATTTCTGAGGTTATCTTTTTCATCTATCACTAAATTCATCTCCCATGTATAACAACGAAATGGCTATTTCTCACGATTATTTACCCAGCCATTCAGTCGATCAGATTCTGATGTTATGTTTGTTGAAGCATTCAAAACTCGCAGTTCGCAAGTGTGTTACACCTCGTCATGGAAAAAATGGTATCCAGAGGCCAACTTTATGCACCACGTTATGAAAATAATAATGTATCAGAGCTATTATTTGCTAATGAATGGACTCAAGAACATGTAGAGCGTATGCAGCCTGATTGTGCTGACAATGCCAAGAGCCCAAGAGGCCAAGTGGCAAGGGCCATTTGATGATTTGATTTGTAAACGATGGGACTTTGCCTCGTGTCAAGTCATAACATTTGGTAAAACAGCTTCTCAGGAAAGTATACAAAAAACTGGGATAAACAAGTTAAAAAAAAAACTGGGATAAACTAGTAGATTCACTAGGGTTCCTGTGCATGTGATAGAACTGAAAAATAGCTTCTAGGGAGAAGCTGTATTAAAAATATCTGTTTGGTAGGAGGGTGTGCCAATAGGCCCTAAAACTGTGGTCAATTGTAATAGATTCTCCCAGAACCTGAAAGGCAGGATAAGCTACGCCGAGTCTGGGCTACACTGATGAGAGTTGTTAGTATGTCAGTATGTGTGCTGATGATCGCGGTGCAAGATGTATTCTTGTGTTTGGAGCACAGGTATATTACAACAATTCAACGGAATCGTTGAATCGTTCGGCACAAAAAGAATAATGGAATTGTTGTGAAAAACAAAGAATTACCGGAATTAATCTAAAGCTGCCAGCCGGCTTGCACAACGAAACCAAATGTATGAGATTTCTCCTCCATCGGCTGCCGGCGCGCCTATCCTAGCTGTTGCATCCGTCGCACGGCCCGGTCCCCACGAGGCCGGCCATCAAGCCTGCCAGCTTCCTCCCCGGCGCGCCCTGCCTGACAGCATCGATGTTGCCCCCGACCGAGCACTCGCCCGCGCCGTCCTCGCCGCTACCCACTGCGCACCACTCGCCCGGCGTGATGCCGTCCAGCGGGCGCCGCAGCACCTCCTCGTCTATCCTCTGCAGCAGCGCCTCGTCGTCGCCGAACCGCCCGGCGAAGGCCGCACCGCTGCTCACCAGGGCGTCATACCGCGCCTTCTGGTCCGCGTCCTGCGGCGGCGGCACGTCGACCCGGAAGCTGTGGTTGACAGTCCTGTTCCTGAAGCGTGGCGAGTTGGCCATGACCGTCTGGAAGTAGAACTCCCTGGCCTCGAGCGTGTTGCTGAAGTATATGAGCAGCGTCCGGGGCAGGTTGTCCGGCGCGGCCACACAGTGCTCGGTGAACGCCCGGCTCAGTATCGGCCAGGGAGAACCTGATGCGATCAAATGCAGCGTCAGTTGCCGCGGAGGTACGAGTGTCTGACAATGATCAAGCGTGAGAAAGGCACAAAGAGTGAGCTCAGCTACCTCTGAAGAGCTCGAACGCGTCGGGCTTCTCCCGGTGCCCCGACGAGAAGGAGATCTCGGCGTTCGTGCTCTGCAGAAGGTTTTGGTCGAGAACAACCACGTGATGGTTTTCAGAATCGGCCCTGTGATCGATGAAGTTGAGGTCCCTCGGCACAGAGGACAAGGCGTAGAGCAGGTCTGCATTGGCCCAAACCCTACTAGCTGTCAGCGGCACGACACGACGGAAAAACCAAAACCGAGATTGGCACACACAATGCGGCAGCCTGAAACTCACCGTCCGTTGTTTCAAAAAAAAAAAAACTCACCGTCCGGCGTCACGAGCGGGTAGTCCGCGGCGTCCAGCGTGACGAGCCAGTCCCACTCCGCGCCGATCCTCAGCAGGACGGCCGCGCCGTGTAGCACCGCGGCGACGGCGGACGGGCCACGGCCGTCGATGGCGTCCCCCTTTCCGATGACGTGCACGTTGCCGTACTCGAGGAACACCTGCTCCGACCGGACGTAGCTGGCCAGCCTCACGCGCTCGTAGGCGCCGGCGCCGGCATCCAGGTGCAGCAGGTACCGGTTCCTGGGGTGGTACACGGCCTTGAGCAGCCGCGTCACCCGGAGGCAGTCCCCGTGCCCGCCCGTGATGTAGTACGCGAGCACCGGCGGGTACCCGGGCCCCCGCCTAAGCGTCGGCACCGTCGCCGCCGCCGCCGCGGACAGCCCGGCGTCCGGGCTGTGGGGGCCGTCGTACTCGTACGCCGCTTGTTGCTGGCCGAGGAAGGAGCTCGACACGTAGCTGAGCACCAGAACGCTGGTCATGACGGTGGCCAGCGTCGCGAACGCGGACCACGGGGAGCATGTCGGGAGCCAAGAGGAGTGACCCATGGCGGACGCCGAGGGCTTGGGAAAGTTGGGCGTGAGACCGTGCGATACGCGGGGGGCGGGAACGGGTCCTCCTGCTACTAGTATAACTTTCAAATGTCAACGCTCGAGCATGGAGAAGCAAACATAGGCCCTGACGCAAATGATGGGCGGGCGAGTTTTTTTTTTTTTTAATCCGGCGCTTGTTTACAGTTGTTGCGCTACGCGCAGCGCACATGGAGACACGAACTACTGGAGGACGTGCGTCCAAGGACGGACGAGAGGCGGCCGGCGGGGAACAGAAGAAAATCCAGAAATATATGATACGATAGCGAAGGGAAGGTACGGACTACGGAGACAATCGACAACGCCAAGTATCGAGCCGGCATGTTCTGACGCGGCACCCAATTTTTTTCCGCTCAGGAAGTTGCGCACAAGGCACAACGAAGGCTCGAATCGTTCGTGTACTTCAGTGGCCGATCCAGAGCAAAACTCGTCGAGTCGCGCTGGGCGGCGCTTCGCACTGGGCAGGCCACCAATAACCGGGCCTCGTTAATTAGTTCTGCGTGCAAGCAGACGGGCCCCTAAAGCCCCTAACGGGTTCGCCTTTCACACACAATCCGTTGCTCTCCTGTGGGCTGTGGGCTGTGGGCTTGACGTTTCGTTAAAAGGCCGATGCGCGCATATTGTTATGGGCCGGCTACGAGCTCCCTGATCAGATTGACGGGCCCAGTTACAACCATAAATTAGGCCGGTGTTTGCAGGTCAACGCTGGTCCTCGTGATATTTTATTCTATTCTTCCCCGAATTGTTGCTTCTCAATATGCATTTTCACTTCCTAATAATAAATAAATAAAAGAAAACATTTTTTCCCTCTCATGCTCTAGATTCAAAACTGAAAATTATTTTCCCCCTTCAATTTGGCTAGTTTTTTTTTCTGTTTTTGTAAAGTCCATATTGACAGCTCTGGCTTTTTTTATGTACCTTATCCCAATCACGTACCGGTAGTTTTATACTTGCGCTCCTACCCCCAGTCGCCCCTTCCCCCTCCCCGCGCTACTGTTGCAAGGACACGCATAAATACCACCAGTACCCCACATGCTGCGTGATGGAAGCAATCAGTCTGAAAAGGATCAGCATATGTGATGTGCCTAGAAAAGAAAGCAAGACAAGCTCGCGACTCGCGATAGATATCTTACGCTCCGATTGACCATTTTAGCCCTGTAAGAGACTACTTTGACTAACACAAATCGGAGTGTCAGACCCGTTCTTCAAAAGTACAGTATTAAGCATAAAAGTAGTATATCGATTAAGAGCACGTTCATTTGGTTGGTTTTACAGAAATTTAATAAATCAATTTGGTCTTTGATTCATCATGAGAGAGAAAAACATCATTAATTGATCGATAAGTTCTCTCCGATCGAAACCAACAAACAAACAGACCGTAAGATTCCATACTCCAAAATATGCAAGCAAGAATAATAGTGGTAACATTCCTAGCTAAAAATCAGGGCATGCATCGCCCCGATACACATTTGAGTGCAAGGCAAAATCGTATTATATTAAAAAAGAAGAAGAGATGGGCAGAAGTACCAACGCCAAAGCACACACTTCACGGCGACAGGTGATACGAACCCTTCTAGCTACAAAAAAAAAAATCTTACTACTGGTGCCGCTGACAGACCTGGGCGGTAAGCCCCACCGAGCGATGCACGTTATCCATGGCGCCTCGAGGCGGCCCCGGCGAATGCTGGCCCTTGGATCCAGCTGAGCTTGCATGCATGCGCATTCGCTGCCTTCCAAACGGAGGAACGGGAAATTAACAACGCGATTACGCGAAGCCTTCAAAAAGCCAGCCCCCTCCTCTCCCTTCCAGACAGCCAGCCACAGCGCAGCGGTGTGTGTGTCTGCGCGAGAGACCAAACACCAACCTCCCCCCACCCTCGACCCATCCCTCCGCGCATCCCCACCTCGCCGCCGCCGCCGCACGGTCTCCTTCCCCGAGGTAAGCGCCGGACCCTACCCCTTCATCCGTCCCTCCTCCCAGGTCGATCGACGGGCACCGCGTCACGGATTGGTTAGCGTGTCGGCGGCGGCGGCGGCGGCGCGGAGGCCAAGGCGGGCGCGGACGATCGGCGCGGCGCGGACCGATCTTAGCGGCCGTGGTGTCTGATCGCGCGGGGATCGCTCCGGCGCCCGCCGATCTCCCCGTTTCGTGGCTGAAATTTTGGGGGCGGCCTCTGTCCCCTCGGTTGCTGTTAGTACCTGTAGAGATTTTCTGGGGGCGGCCCGGCGGGTTTCGATGAGGTGGGTGAGGTATTGGCGTGCGTTAATCGCGCGTGTTTTTGATCGGTTTTTCGAGAGAGGAATTCGTGTGGAGGAGATCGGGATAGGATTTGGGGAGGAGAGAGATAGTGGGGAGCTGACTGTTGGGAAATCTCATGTCATGGATTGTTTTACCACAAATGGGACAAGGGTCAGTAGCTTTGCATTAGTCCTAGACGTCGATCACAAATAAATGAAGGCTTGTTTGTGCTTGCTCGATCAGTACTTATTTGTCCAGATGTGTTTTCTCATGTTTACAGTGATATTTTATGTTTGATGAGCTGGTAGTAGAATGTAGTACCAGTGTATTGGCTACTTAATGACGCTGCTGTTGTTTTCGATTGACAGATTCGTATGCGATAGGAAGTGCATGGGGAGAAAGGATGCCAGAGTTGCGTAGTGGAGTCCGGCAATCTCGGTTGAGGGCAAAGAAGGTTGAGGATCTTGTGGCTCAGGATCCTACCGACAACTTGGTTGTGGCAGCACCTACGGTGGCAGGAAGGCGTGGTAGAGGAAGGGGTGGGAGGGGTGGAGGGAGAGGAGCAGCACGGGGAAGGGGAGGAAGAGGAAGAGGCGTTCCAGTGATTGACTTGGATCCTGACCAGCCTTGTGAGGTTCTTCCAGGAGCAGGTGTTGGTAGCCGTGCTGCAGGTGGGGCACAGCCCATTGAAGACTTTGCTGATAAGGTTGTGAAGATGGATGGTGTGAGTGCTGAGAAGATTGCTGCAGGTGAAGATGAAGGGACTACATCTCCAGTCCCAGAGAAGGTATGCTCTTCTTATGCAGTTTTGCTTGCCCTATTTGGTTGTGTATCTTCACTTGCATGATTTCCATAGCAGTGTCATTTCTTGCCATTGAGGTTAGTTTTGGCAGCGAAGCTATCTTAGAAAAGGGGATAATAATGACAAAATATAGATTGTGACAAGGTGTCACATGGCACATGGAGTATGGTATCATACAGATTTAAAAAAAAATAAATGTAGTTCATATATGTGCCTATTTTCCATGCAGCTACTCATTATGCATCTTTGAAACCTACATATATTAACTATCTTACACAATCAAGAATCAAGTGACAAAAAAATCAGCACCTTCTTCCTTACTCTATCATTGTTGTAATGGTTATATATCTGTAATGATTGTCTTCTTGATTTCTAATGAGAATGAATGAATGAAATGCTCATATTAATATGCACAATTCTTTAGCTGGAGGTGTAGCGATTTCATGATTTATGGGATAGCCTGTGGATCAGATATGTAGTGACCTAAAGAAGTTTGGAGCTGGTAACAAAACAGAAAGTTATGGATTCAATATGGCTCAGTACTATTTTCCTGAGGAAAACAGTGCTATTCCTTTAACATTAGATCACTTAACATGTTGCTTAGTGGAACTACATACTGTCAGTGTGTCAGTCACCTGTGTCAAGGTAGGTGCACCATCCTGCATTCATGTTTTGTTTGTCTCAGGCCACTTCCAATGATATAGGTGTCTGACTGTCTGTAGATGCAGTTGCTTTGTTCCTCTAAACTTAGCATCATATCTTGCATGGTTTCAGATGTATAAATTATTACATCACTTATGTCTACCTCTAGACTTAATTTAATCAACTGAAAGTGTCATGTCTGGTTTTATTGCCCAACCTTGCCCACTGGCCTTGGTTTGCAAGGTTGATCAAGGCAAACCTTGCTACTTGAAGAGAGACATTTTCGGTCTCCATCAAAAGCTACGAAATCCTTGCCCGGCTTGCTCATATTCAAACCAAGCAAGGGAACCAGCAATACCTTCTTGTCCCCTTACTTTGTAAGGCCAGCCAGGGTGCGTAAAGAAACCAAGCGTGCCCTTATTTTAGATCAAAGTGTTAAGTCCAGGGCTCCAGGCTTTTTTTTATTGACTAGGTGAATCGAGTTGTATGCAGAAGAGAAGTGGGCCTTATCAGATGTGAACATGATAAAACCTGTATGCATGCATCTGTAAATAGGCCAGACAACAGTATTTTACATCCAAAGTATTGAATCTTGTATTATGAGATATAGCAAGGACTTGCTATAAAAGGTATAGAGAGCTCACATCTGTCATCAGCTCTTGAGCACTCTAAAACTGGATAATACCAGACTACATGTAGTTGTCAGAGATTAATTTACTATATCTTGTAAAAAAATTGGCTAGTGCTGCAAATAACCCACCTATGCCTCAATTTCTAGCTTGATTTTTTTTCACTCGGAAGATATAAATTCAAAAATGAGAATCTTGCCAACAAATGCTTGGATTGCTAAAAAGTAAAAAGTGTACTCCAGGTTCATGAAATATTTTTTTATTAGTAATATATTTTGGTAACTGGTAAGAACTGACAGCTCTGACCAATGGTGCTAAAAGTTAGAACTGCAAGTGTATAACTGAATTTGAAAATTTGGTCTCCTTTAAATGATAGATATCTTTTGCAGGTTCAAGTAGGACATTCTCCGCAGTACAAGGTTGAGCGCAAGTTGGGGAAAGGTGGTTTTGGGCAAGTATACGTTGGCAGAAGGATTTCTGGGGGAACAGAGCGCACTGGACCTGATGCTTACGAGGTTTATTTATAGTTTACCCTGGAAGTTACTTAAAAAAGATATCCTCTTCTATGAAAGTTATACTAATACATGGGTTATTGACCACAGGTTGCTTTAAAATTTGAGCACCGAAACAGTAAGGGCTGCAATTA